TATTATTTGGAGAAAAATAAGAGCTACTCTTTCGCCGCAACGATTCAAATAATAATAAGTTAAATGTGAGTAAAATCAACAATTCCATATCGATGTAATAAATACATACAAAAAGCTGGGATGAAAATGTATATCGTATACACGCCCGCGTGCCGTTCCAATTTTAAAAAAACTAAAGAATTAGCTGCACTTATAGTCGTGTTTTCAATAATTTTCCATTCCATATTTTCTGAGTAAACTGTATTCTGTTCGATCGTTGTTTTCAACAGCGTAAAAATAAAAGGGACCACATCGTCATAATAAGCATATCCGCCCAGTAATAAGTGGCAAACTTGTTTGTCAAATGGCCACCGATAATAGTCTGGTATGCACGTAGCCGCAAACATACATGACGGAATACAAATTACAGTTCCATTTGACTTAATTCGACAATTGGTTGGATTACAATTAATGTTCGAGGTGATATGGCTGAAAATGAATCAGGTATTAGAATTTAGCGATATTTTTCTTGTTAAAAATGTAAAATAATACTTATTGTGAAGTGATATATCGGGTTGCCAAATTGATAAGCTCGACTCTACGAATGATTTTATGCCATCGTGTTCGGCAGGTTCCCATACTAAATGCTCGTCGGTCCAACTCTGAAGTGTATGCATTCAACGAATTAATAAGAAACAACGATATATTAAAAATGTTACCATGTTGAGCCATCCAGAAACCGTCAAAGATCCATCGTATCGATTGAACGCAAATGATTCGACTATTAATGCGGCCGTAACTAATGGAAACAATTGAATTAATATACTTATAATTATTTGATTTAATTATTTCGTTTGTACCGTTTATCAGACTATCTGGTCCACTGTCTTGATCATAATCACAAAGCAAGTGATTTTTCAATTTTGCTTCTTTTGCAGTTGGTTCTGAACCACAATTTAAAGCCGCTGCATCTGAAAATAAAAATTCATGGTAAATTAAATCCAGACTATGTATTTCGGATGGATATCCATCCGAGATATTTTAGAATATCTGGATATTCAACGCAACTGCACAGCATCAGAGCTGTGTGTGTCACACATAGAACCTACGGTATTTCGCTACGTATATGTGTATCATTTTTCGTGTAGCGACATACCGTAGATTATAAGTTCGACGCACACAGCTCTAGCTCTGTGCAGTTGCGGGAAATATCCAGATATTCTAAAATATCTCGGATGGATATCCATCCGAAATACATAGACTGCTTTAATCTAATCAGTGCATTTTGATGTATTCCATTAAAATTGATGGAAAGTCATTCTTAAATCGGAAATTAAACTGTCTTTTCATATCTTTCACTATATGAATTTTCCACTTTGTATTGCCAACAATATCATTTTTATTACCATTGATAAGGTAATGAACCATTAGAAGTGCACTGATTTCTATTAAAAACAACACTTTTTTCATTTTTAATTCAAAGCTTGAAAAACGTTTTTTTAAATAAATTCACACAGAGTATTTAACTTCTTTTTTTTTGCTTTATTCAAATGTACGCAACTGATCTAAACTCAAATTAATTTCGTGTAAAACTAAACTATATAGATCGTGAACGATCATTTATATGCAAGTTTTTTTGGACAACCGCCCACCAAATACGATATATTTTGGAACTAATTATTATTCTTTTGCCATTCTGAAATATTTCGAGAACTATTTGAATTCCCCGAAAAGTTATTTGCAAACAGAATTTGTGTCTGGCATTGGCCGTACCTTGCCACTATATTTACCAAATATTGTCTTCTTATCAATCTGTAGATTCCACATCAATTTGGGTCCCAAATGTGTTATTTTATCTTCCTTCTATCACATCCAGAAGGAATTCTACCGTCCAGCTCCAGTTTCTAAATGTTAAAAATCATCATGGGAGAAATAGACTCAAAAAAGCGGTGTCATCATTTATCACCATTCCCATTTCTTTCACTTTCTGGCGAAAAGCAGCCAAATTGAGTGAGATAAGAAATATCAGCTAACTGAAAATATCTCAAAACATTCGCTGAATTCATCGAATCCAAATCAATTTGCAATGTTTCCAATTGAATTCAGAAACTCATATTGGTTTGAAAATTAAGTAGAACAGCAATGAAATCAATTCGACATACACCCGAATCAAATCGCACACATTTTGTACAATAAAAGCGAACGCATGTTTGCTTAAAAGCTTCAATTATTTTCAGCATTTCGACAAAAACGAACGTAAACTATCGCAAAATGAAACCGATTTGGTGTATTTTGTGCTATGTTATTCATTTGATATCAGCAAACAAATCGATGTTAAGTCATGGCAGTTAGTTTTTTCATTTCTTTTTACAAAATTTGACAGTTTTGATTATTATTTCTTATCAACTTTTATAAGAAAAAAATGTTCACGTATTTTTTTGTAAAATCAGGTGCATTTCGTATTGCCGGTGGAACTGAAGCAGTCGAAGGTCAAGCGCCGTATCAGTGTTCAATGCAAAAATATGGGACACATTTCTGTAATTGTGCGATCATTTCGGACGAATTTGTCCTAAGCGCAGCACATTGTATTGGAAAGTGGGTGATATTTTCAGATTTTTTTTTAAATTAATTTCAGCATTGTAAAATATTCAAATTTTCAGTAAACAACCAAAAAATGTGGATATAGTGATGGGAACAAATGGTCGGAACGGTACCGTTTTCAAAGCAAAAAGATTCATTAAACACGATAAATATCGAACGTCTCCGAGTTTGATGTATGATATCGGTTTGGTTGAGGTCCAAGGAACGATTCAATTTAACGACAAAATTCAGGCAATCAAATATGCACAGCGAGACACACAAGTTCCAGATGGAACAACTTTATTGGTGTCCGGATGGGGATGGCTGGGGGTATATTTTTATTCGAAATTTTTCATCGGTGGCTGATCCACAAAGGATAGCCACTCCTTCTCCCTTGGTAAATAGCTCCCTCTAATTTTGTGGAAAAAAAAACACCATTTTCAGAGTTTTATAACTCCGCCAAATAGACTGCACGTTCTCTATGTGACAGCTATTTCTTATCAGCAATGCAAAGAATCATGGCCAAAAGTTCATGAGGGATGTTTGTGTACAATGAACAAAATTGGAGAAGGCACCTGCTATGTGAGTGATATTATGATACAAAGAAAATTTATGTGCTAAAATGTCGAATAATTATAATATATCCCTATAGGGAGACTCTGGTGGACCAATGGTTTGGGGTGATACACTAGTCGGTTTAGTCAGCTATGGAGAGCCGTATGTAATTGGATTTTCACTTCTAGCTCATTAAATGTTAATTTTTCACATCGACTATTTCGTTCAAAGGTGTGCGACAGGTAAACCCGATATCTTTACTAAAATTGCCTACTTTGCTGACTGGATTGAATCTTACGTCAAGAGTTAGAAACATGCATTTTTCGAACGTTGCATTTTTGGACGCGAGAAGATTGAACAAATCCAGGAATAAAAGTTAATTAAAGATTTACAATTGAGTGGTTTGAATTTCAAATAAATATTTGCATCATTTTTCCACATACCAAACACAATTGATTAATGTATTACTTGATTGAGTCATTTTTCAGTCAATAAATTATACATTTGTAAGGCGAGAAATAGTTTATATATGACACTGAATGAAACGTTACAAAACATTTTTTTGTTTTATTGAATAATTTGTTTTCCGCATAAATTTTATTCTCATAAATTTTATTTTGTAATTAAAAATAAAATTCAACGAAGGGCAATCGCACTTTGAACACTGCCGTTGTGCTGCTCTCTGATATTTATAAGTTCAACCCTATGTAAATACATGGCTTTCCTCTTCTTCTTCATTTGCAAGAAGCATGTGCTTTATAGCAGCTTAACTTTGAGATACCAGGCGGCAGCACATCTCTGTGTGTTCGAAACCCAATACATTGCTTTAAATGGAGTGCGAGCAGAGAGTGAATTTCAATTTCCAAGATAAAACAGTATAACCCAAGCACTCAAATTGCACTGTTCGCCCGGGGCATTTGCACCGTGCGTCAGTGACGAAAACACGAAACAGAATACGGAGCGAGACACGAAGAAAGTAGTGTATTTGCATATAGGCTTCGTGCCTTGCGTCTTATTTGTTATTCCCCTTTTTTATCTTATTGTTATGTAGCGTAGCAGCCTTTGCCATGCAAACCGCTGAAAAAGGGGAAAAACGAATGAGACGCAAGGAATGAAGCGTATACGAATTGAGTTTCTGTTTTTTTGTTCAAAGCATGAGATCACACTTGTGAAAAAATTCGCATGTTTCCCTCAAAAGCGCTTATTTCCATGTTATAGAACGGATTTCAACTTGCAAGAGCCTCTCGTGAACTCGTATTAGTATAATACAAACGCCACTAGGGGTGTGGTGACCAGAAAAATTTGACTTCATCAGTGACGATTTCATGCTCTGTTCATTTATTTTATTGCCATTTTTCTTAACACATACAATGTCATGCCTAACGTGCCAAAATGTCTTATTTATGGATTGAATCCAATTACTCTGATTGAAAATTTATTGAAATTCTGATAACATTGTCTTTTTCAAGTAGTAATATGAACTAAATAACTATGAGTAATAAGATATCTTTGAAATATTTAAAATGTCCGATGCTTGATTTAAATCAAACACGTGTGATGTGTGTTACCATTAAAATCATAATCAGTAACAAATCAATAAAAATAAAAAAAATGGTCCGATTTTTTATCAGTGACATAATATTCGATTTCTTATTATATATACCATTCGAACCTTAGAAAGAAGCCGATTGTATGTATAAAATCAGTTAAATTTGTGATTTGAACGTAGTCAAATACGATTATTGATTCATTAGCAGATTCTGGTGTGAATAATGTTGATTAACATGAAGTTGAATGTGTTCATTTTGTTTTGTATTCTGCATTCAATCGCAGGCGGATTGATTCCAAGCGCTAATGGTAAGATACAAATCAATTCTATAATTTCCTTTCACTTTTTATGATTTTTCGCAAAAGACCACGTTCTACGTTTCTCTCTTGGTGTCATTCAAACACTCAGAATGATTTTATTATTTTCTTTGACCCAGTCGATTCTTACATTGTTGGTGGTAAAAATGCATCCGATGGCCAGGCTCCGTACCAATGTTCTCTAGAGTATAAAGGGAAGCATAACTGTGGCTGTGTAATAATTTCCGATCAATGGCTTCTCACGTGTGCACATTGTCTCGGAAGGTGATCATACATTCCCTGTCATTTTTTTCCAAATAAAAACGTTTTAACGCATTTTTTTTAGTGGAATTAAGGATGCGACTGTTTTAGTTGGGACAAATGACCTCGAATCAGGTGGAGTTCGTTATACGCCCCGTAAATACATAAAGCATGAAAGGTTTAATGAGTCACCATTGTCCCATGACGTCGGTTTATTGCAAATAGATCAAATTGAGTTCAGTGAAAAAGTTCAACCGATCAAATTCACATCAAACTATGTTCAAGCAGGTGCTGAACTGCAAGCTTTCGGTTGGGGACGATTAAATGTGTGTTTTTTGCAGGAAAAAAGTATTATTTAAAATGGGGGTTTAAATGGATTTATTTCATTTATAGACAACTGGACCAATGTCACAATTTCTGCAAACAGTCAAATTGACCGCTATCACTCATGACGAATGTAAATCAAAAGTGTACATGATAGCCATTTGTGTACATTTACAAAAGAAGGCGAAGGAATCTGTAAAGTAAGTACAATTGTCTGGAAAACAACTACAAAAGAGATGGAATTATTGTATATAACATATAGGGAGACAGTGGGGGTGCACTGGTAGAGCATACTGAATTTGGAGATGTGGTGGTCGGATTGTCAAATTGGGCAAAACTGTAAGTCCGATGCAAATGAAGCAATGACGAAATTGTATCAATGATTTTTCGTTCTTTTAAGGTGCGCTTTGGGATACCCGGATGGTTTTGTCCGCATTTCATACGTTTATGACTGGATTGAATCAAAGATTAATTCTTCGACATAATAACTCCTGACTCCGATTTATAATTTGGTTAAAAACGTTTAACCTTTAATAAAAAGGGAGTTTTGACACTAGCTGTTTAAATAAAATGAAGATTTCTAGAACGCAAAAGAAGACTCTTTTCATTTCAGAAGACCTTTTTCAATTTTAATAGAAACATTTTTGTACCTCATACTCATATCACTAAGCAATCAATTGTTCACAACTTTTAGCTCTTCAATCAGCTTTTTCACGATTAAACATGATTTAGATGACCTGGTAGATACGCTTAACAGACATGTTTATGACTCCAAAACAGTAATTTACGATTTTTTTTGTTGGTGAAAAATGTTTAGATAACCGCTATCTGTTGAATGATTTTGAATTGTAATAAACTATCAAGACACTTGAGTTACCCCGTTTAAGCAAATCTAAAAACCTGTTTTATATGCGATGAAAGCCAAATCTAAGTCTTGTCTTTTCACATATATTTTTGCGATGCGATGAGGAATTATTACCGATAAAAAATATTTCTTGGATCATTTTCAAATGGAAATAACCGAAACCGCGATCGGAAGCTACTCTTCTTTTGAAAAATTCTTGATAAAAGACAGTTGCAAAATAACTAGCTTTAAAGCACGAGCACTGAATTTGAATAGAAATTTTGACTTTTTGGCCCTTTTCCGATAAAATCATACCATAATTCTTCATAGAATCCATTCATGTTCATACAAAAGTGCAATTTTAACGATTTTGAGCGAAAGGTCCAAATTGATTTTGAAAGTGCACCATATTTCATGGATACACCATTTTCTCAACGATGCAAATGCCACATTCCCCACATAGTTTTCAGCGGGGAATCGAATCGGTTTTACATTGATTCGATAACATTTAAGGGTCGAGAATTGGCCCGGTATTCAAAGTACTTTTCCCCTCTCAAACATTTTACCGATGGAACTAACAGAGCAATAAGCTGTTTACTGAATTAAACTGATGCGATCGAACCATTTTTATAAGCGAAAATTTGAGAAGAAAAAAATAATTTTCAAAATACGATCATTATTCAGTAATTTTCTTAGCTTGTCTTACCTATTCAATGCCATCGATTTTACAGAGATGTTTGCTCGGAGTAAACAAGTTATTACGACAAAAAAGGTGTTTGGAATCCAAACTTTGGATAAAGAGATAATAAGAATGTGCGCATGAACTGTCTTTGAAATAAAAAACATACACTGAAAAAATAACTACGCATCAAATGTATCCAATCGCAAATGATGAATTGCAATATTTTAAAATAACACACGACAATAATTCATCCTCTTCAAAATAAAAATAATGCCCAGACCGATGAAAAAAATGATTTTTTTTTTTAAATTTACAAAAATTATTTACGATGGTATACATTTTGATAAGAAATATGTAGAATTGTAGATTGGAGAGCACTCAACGCATTGTGAAACGTACTTCACTGTTTGAATGGATGATTCATTTAAACGCAATATGCATAATTTACTTTCCTATTACTCCTCCAAGCACAAGGCAATCAAACATTCAAATGAAGGTTTTTATCATTTGAATAGAACTGACTACCAATCATTTTAGCATAAAATGTGTCTTAAATTAAATGCCGCTATTTATAAAAATATTTCATCATGATAATGCAGTGATTCATTAAGAGTCCAAATGTGTAAAGATAATCTCTGAAAGATTCCTGAAGAGGTAAGGTATCAATGACAAGTACGAAGTTCGTAGATTATCTTTGCCAAAAATCGATAAATCTGCCAAAATTTAATATAAAAATCCCTTGGATCTATGACTTGATCGCAGTCAATCAAAATTTCTGTGACAAATTTTGGTGGAAAGATTTTGATTAATAATATGAATTTGAAAGTGTTCATTTTGTTTTGTGTTCTGAATTCAATATCAGGCGGATCGATTCCGAACGTGAATGGTAAGCATGAATTCCATTTTAAGAAGTCTTTGAATTTTTCTTGCTTTCGATTTAAAACCCAAAACACGTTTTAAAAATGTTAAATTTTGAAAATAGTTGGATATCATGATCCATTCATTGTTGGCGGTGAGAATGCAAGAGACGGCCAGGCTCCGTATCAATGCTCAATTCAAAAGAACGGCAGACATTTCTGCGGGTGTGCCATCATAAACGAACAGTGGATCTTAACAGCCGCTCATTGTATCGTCAGGTAATTGGATGCAAGACAATATTTTCTGTGAATTTTCCTTCGCACTAAATCGGGTCAATTGTTTGTTTGCAGTGGCATGTGGAACTATGCAACCGTTTTAGTTGGAACCAATGACCTGAAATCGGGAGGAGTTCGTTACGAAGTTCAAGAACATATAGTACACGAAGAGTATCAGTCACCGTCTAGATATGCACACGATATCGGCCTTGTTAGAGTGGAGAAAATGAAGTTCACAAAAAAAGTTCAACCAATCAAGTATACATCAAATTATGTGGAATCAGGTGCGGCACTTAAAATCTTTGGTTGGGGAATGTTGGGTGTAAGTGTTATAATCATAATGGAGTCCTAATTAATGGGAAAAATTTTATTATTTTCATTGTATTTTCATATTAGGAATCTTCGAGTTACCCTGAAGTTTTGCAAACAATCAATACAACCGCACTTTCTCAAGACGAATGCAAAAAAAATGTAAATATTATTCACGATAGCCATTTGTGTACATTCACAAAAAAGGGAGAGGGCGCTTGTTTTGTGAGTAATTTTAATCCACTGAAAATAGAACAAGATGATAATTGTGTAATTCTTTGTAATTAATTAAGGGTGATTCGGGAGGCTCGCTTGTCTTGGGTGACGAATTAGTTGGTTTGGTCAACTTTGGAATACCGTAAGCTTTTTTGAATATTAATTTATCGCGATTTATTGAATCAAATGAATTGCATTGTGGGTTTTATTGTAGATGCGCTGTCGGGTATCCGGACGGTTTCGCAAGAATTTCATACTTTTATGACTGGATCGAATCAAAGATTAACCCGTCAACGTGAATACGCCTGACCACAACTTTTTGGAATTTTAATAAAATTGAAATAATAATGAATGATTATTGAGCAAACATAAATATTAAATATTGTTGTTTTTTAAACGTAATAAAGATTTCCAGCATGCAAAATTGAAACAGTTTTTCTCTTTTACCATCCATTAAAAATAGAATAAGTTTTTTTATCACCAAAAAGTGTCTTCGCCTAAAATCAGGCATTAGGTTTGAGCTATGGATATAGCGGCTGCTATTTAACTCGTTTTAATGCGTTTATTTTCTACATCTCTCTCGTATTCACATTCAAATGTACAAAAGAATAGTAGGCTATGATATTCCTACTCGGTGTTAAATACACACGAATTAAATAGCGCCTATGGAATAGCAGCCGCTATATGCATAGCTCGAGCCAAATGTCTGTCTAAAATACAAATTGTCTAAATACAAATGCTGCTCTAAAAAATTTGTAAAAAAATATTTGCTTATCATGATAAGTGTGTAGCATGTACGATTGGCCTAAACTGGCCGTAAAAATTTGACCTGAATGATTCAAACTCGTTCAAACTGAATCTTATCGAGCGATAAGTGATTGTAGTATACATTTTTGGTAATAAAAATCGATAATTTCCGAATCTAGGTTATCGGTGACTTTTAAAACATCGAACTTGATTGGAAATCACTTGTGATTTGAGCATAATAGTTAACTGTGTCTAATTGAGTACAACTTTGAAGTTGAAAAGTATTGACCACAATATGAAGCTGACAGCGTTTATTTTATTCTATTTTTTAAACTCGATATCCAGCGGTGCGATTTCGAGCGGAAGTGGTAAGCCAAAATAATTTTGGCAAAATTCAATAGTTTTCTATATATGTTATAGAAGGACCATCATCCCGTATAATCGGCGGAACAGACGTTGTCGACGGTTCAGCTCCTTATCAATGTTCGCTACAGAGAAATGAGCGGCATGGGTGCGGTTGTGCCATCATCGGAGACGAGTGGATTTTAACTGCTGCTCATTGTGTTAGAACGTATGGATCTATTTCCAGAATTTCATCTTCATCATTTAAACACTTTTCGATCTAATTTTTCAGTGGCATTCAAAATGTCAAAATTTTAGTTGGGACAAACGATTTGAAATCCGGTGGAGAGCGGTATAAAACCATTGATTTCATTATACATGAAAATTATGATAAGCCGCCGTTTAGTAACGACATTGCCCTCGTAAAAGTAGAAAACATTCAGTTCAATAAAAAGGTTCAACCGATCAAATACACATCAAATTATGTAGAAGGTGGAAGCGTACTTTTAGATTCGATAAGATTCGATGTGAGTATTTCATCACTATTTTGACGTTGCTTTCACACAGATTTATGTATTTTGCCAATATTTTCACCTAAAAAAATTAAACCTTACAGAAAGACAGCAACGAACTTCCACAATTTTTACAAACGATTAATTTAACGGCTCTTTCGTATGAAAAGTGTGTCGAAATGATTGATGACGGCGTTAAAGTCAGTAATTTGTGCACATTCAATGGATTTGATGAAGGCGTTTGTAGTGTACGCAAAAATTTCTATGGCATTTCAATTTCCGTAATAAATTTGATCGAAGAACATTTCAATGCATTCCAAATTAAAGGGAGATTCGGGCACACCACTTGTGTTAGGTGACGAAGTTGTCGGTCTGGGAAATTGGATCTTAAATGGGTTGGTGTTTATTTGGAACTTTACAGATACAGATTGACTTAATATTTTTTATAATTTCAAGCTGCGCCACTGGTAATCCCGATGTTTTCGTGAGGATTTCGCATTTTTATGATTGGATTAAAGAAAAAACGGAGGCTTTCGAGAATTTCGAAGGGGGAAATCTATAATTGAACTTGGTATTGTAAAAAAGCTTTAGTTTAATAAACATTAAATGACATAAACAATAAACAATAGAAAACTATGTATCCAAAGCTAATGTAGTTGGCAGGAGAATAATGCCGAGATTTTTTCGAAGTGTAATAAGAGGTGAAGGAAGTAGAAGAACTTTTAGAAGTAGAGACTTTTTTCATTTTCAAAATGCTTAAAATACGGACTTACGCGGAGATATGCGGAGTTGTGTGGAGAGAGACGTTTCGAGTGTATTTTTATTTTAAATTGATGTTCCGATTAGTAATCCAATGGGCGATTACTTACCATTTTTGTGAAAAGAAATTTGCTATTTTCTGTATCTTCTGAATTTCTGAAAGTATTTGCTGCAATTCAAATTGAAATGGTGAAAGTAGATCAACATTGATTTTTGATTTTTATCTTTATTAATGCAAACGTGATAAAAACACACGAAAATGGAATTCCTGTGGATCAAATTGCGAATTGTGTGAAATATCGGTTAAAAAATCCGAATGCAAAGCACCTTAAATTCAAATCAATATTCGTTTTAGTGAATACTTCACAAGAATTGGCTCATTTTTTCCACTCAATGATAACAATGTACTGGTAGGTGATTTTGCCGATTACGGTGTACTTGACTACGTATACATGGAATTAATCTCTTGTGATATGGGTCTTTGTGATATAGTTAAAATTGACCTTTTTTGCTGACTTGATATTAATTCTTTTATTGCGTTTTTAAAATTGCTCTTTTTGAAGGCGAAAAAGTTGAAAAATTGTGTATAGGTTAGATTGAAAGAACGACCACCTGCAACTGACTGCCTGCATTCCCATGTCCCTCCAATAATTGTTAAAACCAGTTGGTAATACCACGATTGGAATAACATATTTTAGTCCAGCTGACAATAGTCAAGAATATGGTATGCTCACTTCGCGATTGGTCCTTGATAATAAGCTATCTTTGATTTTGATCTAAATCTATTGTAATAAATATCTGTAATTTCGGGAAAAAATTGAGAAAAGTGAATTGACATTGGATGTCATAAGAAATACGGAAAACATGTTCGCTCCAAAAGTTGGGCTGGTAAATCGGCTTCAATCTTCGCCTTGTGATTCTTGCGTGTCATCTCTTTCGAGTGTGTAGCCTCTTTTTTGTTGCAAGCTGGATGCTTCTTGTGGTTCAAAACCTCGTGATTTCATGTAGCTGGTGAATTGTTCTGGAATTTCGGCCAGGACCTCTTCGGCTAAATCGGTTTGCGGCTTATCATTTGGTGCATCTTCAGTTAGAAATTTATTCATTGGTACAAATTGAACGATATCACGTTCAGCAAAGCGACCATCAACATTTAGCTTTTCATCATCGGCATCGAGTTCTTTCATTTCATTAAAGTCGGCATCGCCTACTCCCACTGGTAAAAAAGACAAATCGATATTGAATAAATACAATGAGTTTCGCATGTTTTCTTCGAGGTTTTTCTTACCTATAATGATCGAAATCGGTAATTTTGACGCTTCAATGATGGCAGCTTTCGTCAAGGTCATATCACTTATAATCCCGTCTGTTACAATAAGTAATACGAAGTAATGCTTTCCGTCTTGAAATTTCTTCGCAATTTCGATGGTGTCGTTAATAACTGTTAGAAGATAATATAATTTAACTTTCTTCTATGTATACAAAAAATAGAAAAATGGAATCAAAGTGATACGCGCGACGAACCTGGAGCAAAATTGGTTGGCTCATGCAGTTCGACTGCATTCAATTGAGCTTTGTAGTTTTCAAGAATTTCGTCCACACCGGAGCAATAGGGATGCTCGGGATTATTATTCAATGGAAACTGGAAGGACACAGTGCCGCATGGTAATTTTGCGCCAAAACCTGATTTTCCCAGAAAAAACGAAGGAAATGTTATTAAAGTGCAAGAAATTCGGTGGAAAGTAAAGAAACTAACCAAAAGCCGGGAATAATTGATCGCTGTCATAATGCTGAAGTGTCTCGCCAACGCCACGTAAAGCGAGTTCATAGTTGTTCATCTCTTCCTCGCTTAAATAGTGCAGAGACTTTGTGTCGGTGTGCACTCCGTTGGAGGATGTAAAATCGATGGCCACGGCAAAGTGCATTTGCACACCTCCCTGTATGTAATCCAAGAAAGAAATTTCCTCCGCCATACTGTTCTTCAGTACTTTCAATGTGCCTGAATTAACATAGTTTGCATCGGACTTCTGCTTTTCCTCATTGATCAACGTCAATGAAGCCTCCTCCTGTGAAATCTCATTCAATTCATTTATCGAAGTGATGCATGCCCCGATAAGCTTATAATGTCCATTTCCTCTGTCGCTAAAACATTCGATTTTAATTTTTTTATCAAAATCATCGTGACAAAGAGCGCCAACGCGAATTTTCAATGGTTTCCACTCGGGATTTTGACTTGATTTGGCTACTTTAGTTCGCGTTACAACAGAATACGTGTCATCTTCATTGATGCGTGAAATCACCAAAAATGGATCATTACTACGGAACCATTTACGTTTTGGTAGATTTTCAGCGGCAAATTGGATTTCAATGACCTGTTTACATTGCGAATCTTCTTCCGTTACAATCACAATTTCGCTATTATTGCGAATAATTTCTCCGCCAATTTTTGCAATCGGAATTTTGCCAACAACCTGACGACCGTGTGACGACACTAGGGCACCCAATGTGGTCGTATATCGACCCAGAAAGCTATGCTCGTCCAAAATCATGTCACGAATTTCAAATTCAACGTGTTGTATCGCCTCGAAACTGTAATCTAAGACGATTTTTTTGAACCATTGCGGATTCAATGAATTTTCAATGATTTCCGTGCGATCGATTTCGACGTATCTGAAAATATATATTTATTGAATGACAAAACAATTGAAGTGTTTTTTAATTGATATGATTACCGCGATTGCCACGGACGTTTCACCGAAACCACACAAAATGGATCCGATGTACCTCTTATGATGTGAGTATTGTACAAATTTTTACAACTTATTGTTAATTCAATTTTTGACGTTGTTTTAAAGCTCTTTTCGTACTGCAAAAGTAATTCTTCATCACTTTCAACGTGGACATTCTTCTCCTTAGGTTTTCTCAAAATACCCATCGATCCGACATTTATATGGACGGGATTAGCCATTTTAATTATTTTTCGATCGGTTAGTTTTTTTTTTTGTACGAGTAAAATTAAGTAAGTGATTTTTTACTACGTTTTGTGGAGAAAAAAATCAATAACACAAATAATTTGATAGTTGATTATGATTAAAGCTTTTAATGCATGTTTTTTTAATATCTTATCAACATAATTCAGTTTACGACCAGTATAAACATCACAAATCGTTATACTACGCAATTACTTTTCTCACTTCGTTTGTTTTGATTTTTTATTTTTGTCACGGACTCCAACTATCACTCTTTACATCAGCAGACTGTTTTCCATCTATCCTTTCTATGGTCTATTTGACGTGTGGATGGGCATGCGCACTACGGTACGAAAGGAAACGTCTGTCATCCGTTTCCAGTGTCACGTTCCATCAATTCACACTGTAAAAATTATTATTGATGTCGTACATGTCACAATTGAGTGCAAAATTCAAAATTTTAATGAAAAAAAGTGAAGCATACATCAATGCGGTGTACAGCATGTTTCCTCTCTTGGTCATTAACATGGTAAGCAAGCACTTTGTGCGCCTAAAAAGCGGCTGTTACCACTAGCGCTCACAACTCCGACCGACCACCGATCTGAAGAAGTCGAAGAACGGTCGGTATCGATTTCAATAGTCTTTGTGTCGGCCGCTGTTGCGAACGCTGGTTACTACTGAATTCCACGTACCCAAATTGCTTGGAAACAAATTTTCTGCCGCTTTCCGTTCAGTTGCAAAAACAAGTGAAAAGAACTAGGAATAAAGTACACGTGCAGAGTATTTTGACGTCATAAATAACCCAATTTTAATTTTAATTTAAAAAATTCTTTCACACCTGCAAACTATTTAAAAATTCGCAAAACTTGGATAAAATTACAGCATCAAAGAGCTATATAAAGCGTCTGGCGATCATTCGATAGTTATAGTTGAAATATGAATTTTACAAGTAAATCACGATGTATTTACTTTCAACGGTGTTACTGCTTTTACTATTCGTTCAGGTAAGAAAAAAGTATTCACTTATAGTACAGATAAATAATTATTTATTTTGCGGTATTTTCTCATAAAAAGTTGATCATTTGTAACGGTGATGGCGTGGCATTTTTGAATTTGCTCGATTCATTTGATGGCAAGGGCACCAACCAACAGGGGAATTGCACTAAAATCAAACTTGACGTTCATTCTTGGGATAATGGAAGATGTCAAAAAATTAATTCATTATTCTCGCTTATAGAAGACTTTTCCAACACGGAAACGAGAGAAAAAGTGATGAATAAATGTCCAGACATATATGGTTATTATTTATTTATTAGTTAACTAATTTATTATTATTATTTATTAGCTCTTATTATGGTTATTATTTTCATACAATTGTTAGCTAGCGGATACTCTTTTCGTACATTTGTGCGTGAAGAGCTTATCAAATGTGCAAATTTACAGCGACACGACGTTGTCGAAAAATATTTCAAATTTCGTTCGAAAATTGTATCCAAGATGCCTAAAATCGTGGACAATATTGATTTTGAAAGTTCGTTCAAAAATTGGTTACGCAATCCAACTGATGTTAAACACATTGAAAAGGTCAAAAGTGCACTGAGCTCCATGAAAACTGATTTCGATCAATTACACGAACAATTTTGAAACGAATTAAAAGACATAGAGGCTCAACAATCGAATATTGGGAGAGACGTTAGAGCAGTCAACCAATTGATTGAGGATATTTTACTTACATACATCAAACAATCAAGAAATACAAGCATCAGTTAATCAACTTCCTACATTAGTTTTTAGAGTAGAAAAACTGAGAGGAGACTAAATTGGTAAAGTTCAATATATTACAAAGACTCTGAGTGAGTACAATAAGAAACGGATCGTATGGGCAGAATTTTCAATTGGAATTAGAGACAGTCTTACGGCTCAACCCGAAGCGGTGACACTGCGCGAAAATGTACGTAAATGAATTGATAAGTGCTCGTATTAAAATAAAGAGATTTCGTTCGCAAATATAATAATTTCAAAAGTAAACGCATTTTATCTTTAATCATAAATAGGCGGAATAAGGTTTACAATTTCGTTCACAATATTCTTTAGTGTTGAATCGATTTTCATTGCCTCCACATCCACCATACTGGAAATATTCACATTTATCACTGGCAGAGTTGTAGTAATAGCTTGGTATGATGGCTTTACAATAACCAATTACTTTTGGCAATGTGCAATACTCTATATTTGAATGGAAAAAAATAGATTTTTTTTATAAATATCCAAAACTTTGTGCATGAGAAAAAGTAACAACATCCGATTACCTTTGACACCACAAAACTCTTGACATTCTTCCTTGGAGTCAAAATTGTTCTCGTTGCCCAAACACCCACCATAAATGAAACTCTCACACCGCCCAGTCTCTGAATTATGGAACCAACGCAGTATTCTAGCCTTACATGCTATCTCTTTAGGTTCTAATGACAATGCGCAAATCTCCTCTAGACGAAACAAATAGGAAACAAAGAATGAAAATCTATAGAAACTACTTATAAGCCATTTAAGGTTTGACTGGTAGAATTTGGTTAAAAATGATGATTTGGTACCAATTAAAATAGGGTTCTACGTTGAAGAATATTTATTTAAAAAAAAAGAATTATATTCACCTCGGGTTTTTTCTTCCGCCGATGAAACGAGCACCACGAAAGTAATGGCCAAGAAAAACTCAAAAAACTTCATGTTGGGAGATTATTTCTTCGGTGGATTCGCGTCAAAACTGATTCACATTCAATCTAAGGGTTTAAATATACACACGATTTTGGCCATAAAATGTTTTTATAACTGTTGACAATGAAGTTACGTAAGTTTAAATTCTGAGTATATTACGAGTTCAAATGATACACGTTTATGATTAGATTTATAGCATCTTAAAACGTAATTCGCGTAATTCGCCATAGAAATTATATAATTGAACAAGGTTCCTTCGGAGAAAATAGGCAAACTTAAGAACAATGAGTTATTTAAATGGATTGATCATGTTTCCAAGTCCAATAAAATGTCATATTTGTTTTTATAATCCATTTTTAATGTTTTCAATTGTACAACGCACGATTTAATCTTTCACGATTTGTTTTAGATATCGTGATCTTGGAGATAGCTGTCGTGTGTTTTTTTCCACACAAAAATATCGGGGATTTATGTGTTTTTGCACGTATCGATCCATTTGTGATTTTTTATGTCGATCAACGATTTTTATGCTGGATTTGTCTGAAAATGTTGTGCCATCCCAAAAAAATTTTTAAAATGATAATTTTGAAATAAGATTTGTAGTATCGTTTTCCACACACACGAACACACACTTGACCATGAAATTTATCAATCACGCTAGACTCTCTCTCTCTCTCACACACACACACCCCTAAATGTACTTACATTTTCGACTACATCCCACTCCCTCTCTCTCTCTCTCTCTCTTTCTCTATCAATTGGAATGCAAAGCAATCTCAGTGACTGTTTTGTAATCCAAGTAACCGGAATATGTATGCCTTAATGCCAGCCAATACTCTAACTGCTATCGATGAATTGCTAGGAAAATTGACAGCACCCATTTTAATGGTGTGTATTGGAAATCGACAATCTCCGTTTCTCTTCCAAAGTTTTCAATTGATAAAGATTCTGACTTGGAATCGGTATGTTAAAATAGCCAGTCTAATGTTAAAAGTAACGATGTTTGAATTAATTTTCTTTACAAATGTTTACAGGTACTGAAACAAATGGGCGTTCAGAATTTATTCGATAAAAATGGTGATTTATATGAAGGTGGCGCATTGCATTCACACAATGAATGTTTGTTAGAAACTGATCAATGAATCAGGTTCAAAAGCTTCTGCTATAACTTCAGTTATAGCAGGTCGATTTTTCGTGCCTTCTTTTCACTTCTATTGTGATCGCCCCACTGGGTTGCTGCAAAACACGTATCACTGGCGCCCTCACTGTATTGCATAGTGAAGTAACTCAATAGTACGTGTGTGAAATGTGAAGATTTTTTCTCGCACGAACTAGATGGCGCTAATAACTAAGTGTCTTTGCAGCAATGGTGTGGATCGCCCATTCGTGTTCATAGTTCATGATGAGAAATTCGAAGAAGTCTTATTTGCTGGAGTTTATCGTGGACCAAATTAACATTAAAAAATATATATACAAAGAATTAAAATTAATTCAATCAAAAAAAAAAAAGAACGAAGTGTTTTGAAGTCTTATTGAAATTGGCATTTTCCACACTATTTTGCCAATTAATGGCATTATATAGAACAGAGTAAACTTTACAAAATAAGTAGATATCTTGAAGTGGAATGACACATGACAAATTGTTGTTTGCATTGGTTTTAGTAATAAGTGTGGCAGGCGCAAATAGACATTTATATACTACTAACATTCCCTCTACAGAACAATCCATTAAGGGTCTGATTAAACTTTTGTGATCCATTCATTCCATTTCTCTCTTAAAATTCAACTTTCTAGTCTTCTTACATCTTTTACTGTAGATAGATTGTGATTTTGGAAGACTTGAGTCTTTTCTGAGATCAAAATTATCTTTCTGGACAAATTTCTCTGCATTCTTCCAAAAAAAAGTGTATCACTTTGGATTTTTCAAGGTTTTACCAAAGGTTAGGTTATTTTTAGGGCAATTGCTTCCAAATTGTCCATTCACCGAGAAGACACGACCTAAATACTTAAATAAATGTTTTTAAAGAAAAGAAATTGTTTTTGTGCTTTTTTTTCTATTTATTCGCATTAAAATCGATAGCAAAATGGTTTACAACAAAAATATTTATATGAAGGTTGAAAACTTATGATGAAAACTTTTTATACATTTTGACTTGAAGAGAGGCATTTTATATTTTGGCTTTATTTTACTTTTATTACAAAACAATTTTTTATTACACATTTTCGACAAGAGGAAAGTCAGTACTCTCAATGTGTTTGGCAGAATGCCATTTACTGAATGAATACCGTATTTTGATTTTATAACGATCAATACATTTTTGTGTGTGTGTAAATAACAGTTTTTCTATAGGCACTGGGTCAACTCAATTCACTTTTGTTTCAAATTCCGACGATGTTCATAACCAAATAACTCTTCTATGGGTCACACAAGAAATAAACCTGACAAATCATTTTAGGATTCCTATTAAAATATTAATTTGTAAGGTTTTCTTATAATATGAGTACATTTTATCAGGAAACCTATAAATAATAAAACATGTTTTGTTTCAATACATTGAAGTTGGATTTGATGTTTGGGCGCGCCAATTTATTAGGATTCCCGTTAAAATATTGCGTTTTTAAAAGGAAACCTTACAAATTCATTTTTTAATAGGAATCCTATAATAATTTGTTGGGTTTATCTGTTGTGTGGTGCTTCAACGAAATAACCGTAATATTTAAATTTCATTTGTATGAAATATAAACCCATTTGCTATTGTTCTTCAAAACATCATCGGGAACTCTAACTCTGCCCTTGTTTACTTGAATCCTAACGCCTTCAATACATCCCTTGGCCAGCAAGACCATTGAATCAAATGTGTGTGCATCAATGCCATCCTTTCGGCAATACACATTGAATGATAGTTTGCATAGATCACGATCGAATTCGCGTCGTCGAATGTGCGATAGAAAATTGGCGGATACCGAAAATAATCGAAAATCAAATAAATGAAAATTAAGTACGATTCTTTCCAAATTGAATTGTGTCGACATAATTTCATCAAATGTTCGAACCGAAAATTTTCCCGTCAAACGTAAATACTTAAGCGTTGGCACGGTGCGTACACATTCGGTGAGATAGAGCGATTCCATTGGTGAAAATGAAAGACTTTCAATCGGTACCGTACCGACTGCCATCGAGTTGATCATTACTTCCAACAGAAATTTATTGCTATTTTCAATGCTCAAGCATTTCAATCTCCGTAATTTACCCAATGGCTCGAGAACGTGTTTTTGATAGCATGCCAATGTTGAAAAACCACGATCATTTTTGAAAAAATCAAATTGACTGATGTGAAGATGTGTCAAATTTTGTGCATAATCACCAAAAACCGACAAAAATGACCATGTCATACCATCACAATTTATTATTTTCACACGCTGCAGCTGTGGATTGTATGCTAAAAATGTCAACAAAGTGTCGTCGGTTAAATTATCAATTGAATCGAATTCAACGTGCTCAAGCTGTGGAAATTCACGCATCAACCAGTATTGTTTCTGCGTTAAATATGGACAAGAAATGTGTAAAGCTTGCGGTGGCGAATCGAGAAGGTAGTCTAGCGGCGATGGACGGAAAAATAATAATTTCTCCAATATTTCAAAGCGACTTTTGTTACTCAGCAGAGTCAGATTGTAGGCTCGCATTTTGCGCGGTCTTGGCATTTTTTCACCATCTGTCAATATCAATTGAAGGATTTTTTCTTCACGTTTTGACACAACCGTCTGTGCTTTGTCGTTCAAATATGCAAACGTTTCGGATGGCTCTTGCGGCAAAGTGATGACCAGCTTATTATTGTGATTTTTGCAGTTGCGCTTTTTATTTGACTTGAAACAATCCGCAGCACACTCTTGGAAACGTATACACACATCAGCTGCACTTCGAAAATCTTCTTCCACGAAGTTTAATTCACGCAACATTTTTTGAACGCAATTATTTTGATGCACGTTGAGTGTGCTCTTTGGTGAAACATGCACTGATGCTACGTCCATCTTAAAATTGAAGTCTTTTCTGATTTCCTTCAGAATTGCGTTATTTTTATTTCGTTTTTTTTTTACTTTCTTCAGCTTTTCGTTGCTTGTCGCTAGTTTTCAAATCTTGATATGGAAATTTCAATGACTTACACAATTTTTACAAGATTTTTTCTAATTTATTGACTAAAATCGTTGGCACACTGATTGAACAATCCTCACTGATTTCGAACGATTATATCTTGAAAGTTGAAGTTTGTTTTACTTTTTAACATGAAAATTCAGATGAGATGTTGAACACTTGAGAGCAGAGAACTTGTGATACAGCCTGATGGTGCGCACCTGTTTTTATACTGTTTCACAGAGGTATTTAATGACAAAACTAGTTAAAGGTCATTAGGTCGCATTTTGTAAGTAATGTGATTTAAAGATTTCCTTACAAGAGCAAACTCAGCGCATGATTATACCTTAAATGACGTCTTTGTAAAAAAACTGTCTTTTTTGAATTAACAGAAAATTCTATCCGTTTTAATCATACTTTTGGTGCAATAAAGTAATAATAACCTATAAATCTGTCTTTTGGCGTTCGTCAAAGGATTGAAGATGATTGATTAGATAAAATAACGGACATTTTTTGTATCTTGCAATTATTTGTAATGATTAAACCAAAATGGGATTCAAAATGGTCAAAAGAAGTTTACATAAAATAATGCATTTTGTGAACGATGCTTGATTGAAAAGACGTTCAAATATAATTTGGAATTCGACGACTGGGTGAAAGAACCTTTTCAAATGTATATGGTTGTCTCTGTCACTCCAATGAAAATTCACATTTGAGTTTGATAGCTGGCTAACTTTATTCATGTTGTTATTTCTTCGTGCATCTCCTATAGAGATTTTAAAACGTTCACTACTCGCAACTAGCGCACAGAACACTTTTTTTCAGAATGTAATCCGGGCGTCTGGTCGGGCGAGCGTTGATGGGATGTAAAAAAACAAAATTCATTGGAAAAGATCGATTGCCCATTACCATAAAAATACTGAAGTGAAAATGAT